TAATCAGTAATAATGATGACAAATTTAGATGTTTGAACTTTGCCATGCTAAGCATTGGGTTGCCTATAAAGAGACTATTTAACATAACCTGAAGCTCCTTGCTGAGATGTGCTAACCATAACTTGGTTACATTCCAGCAAGGAATAAAATGAAGAGGGAAGGTGATCGGAAAACATTTACAATACTCAAATCAATAAGAATTGTGGTATACTTCAATTCGGGAATCTCAATATTATCTCTATTCTAATATTCCGAAATCACTGTGCCATGTCCTGATGTTTAAACACCATTTGTTAAATTGAACTTTTGCTCATGCATACTCAATAGTATTTAACTGCAGACATCAGGCATAGTCGGAATTTTCGGCGAGTTTTTATGCAAATAAAAAATAATAAAATAATAAAAAAATTCTAACTTATAATCTGATTGAGAGATTTTACGATCAATAAGATATCGGCAGTCTGGAATTGTACAGTGATTACCTAACTTAATTAAGCTATGCCAATTAATCTTTCAACAAGCGGAATAATGTATTATGTTTGCTAATCAACTGTTAAAATGTGTTTCGGTTTTTTTCGGTGCCAAAGCTCATACTCAGTTGACATGAATATAGCGAAATAAACTTATTTTACCAAGCATCGATGTTAGACTTATTTTGACATAAATAGTTTCTATGAGGCTTTCAAAGTTTCTTTTGAATACTTTATAAGGAAATATGAGTTTTCACTCCTTTGATCTTGAGTACCAAGGTTTGACTGGTGCTCTCATAAACAACTGAGACTAGTACTTTGCCAGGCGTGGTAGATTGCAAAATATCCTAGTAGTAATGTTGAATTGAGGTGGATTCAGAAACTTGTGCAATGAACTTGTGGTATTAATACATTATTTCGTTATACCTGTAAATCAAATTGTTCTCAAGGGTCTTTCCTCGTTAATCCTTGTGTGTCTTCCATTAGTAACTCTGCCAATCATTTCAAAATTTACTGGCTACTTTGACTAGTACTCGAGACATAATTCGATCCTAGAGTAGAACTAACCCAATGAAATGAAGTCTATAGAAGTCATTTGTTTCCCAATTTCACTCATAAAATACAATACGTTAATCGAATCCTTACAAAAAATGACGGGGAATATTAATAAAGGATGCGGAAAAGTGCCGATGAACTGATTTTCTAACGATAATATGATATAATTATACCAAAGAATTGAATGTTTGGTCACATTATTATTCTTATTAATTTGAAATATCTAAATGTGGTTTAATTTTAAACGCGAATTTGTTCAAACACTGAACCATTACTAACTACAAAGGCATTTGATTTGCGAATTGAATTCTAGCCATTTAAGGACTTGCTTTAAATCTTCCGTTGATTTGAACTTGTTTATTATTTTCCCCTAGGGATTGGGCCCATAATATATATTTTTTCCAGTTGGGAAAGTTTAGGTTAATGGAAAGCAAACGTTTTTTAAAAGAAATTGTGTTACGGAAACCCCAATAAAATGTTCAAAGCGCATCACAAAAAGAACTTGTAAACAAATAGAAACTTCTGTTGACTTTTAGTATTTACTAAATATTTACTTCATTGTTTCGAGCTTCAGAATAGACCGATGACTTACTAAGAATGGTGATATAACAACTGATATTCACTAATTGATCTATTTCAAATATATTCCCATTGCTTTGAGCAGACAGATGTGATTCTCTTTCGTATTATGAGGTTGAGGAGAGCAAAGCGAGATGCTGAGAGCAACAGAACTTGTCATTCAAATGCGATACGTAAAATCGGAGGTGCCAAGAGAGTATTATAATCGATCAATATATTTAACTCCACTTTCTGGCTACCTTGGAATAAGGTTTTATTGGGAAAATATTGTTTTATTGCCCATTGCTAACGAAGGTCCTTCTGTAAGAAAGACCTTGGTGAGTGCTATTGATTAACATTATCCAATGCGATTGACTATGCACAGCACTGAATGCCCATTGATCGACATCGTGATTATTGGAAACCGTATTAGCATGTACGACGGTTTAGGAATTTATTTTTGGTTATGAATTTCCATTTATAGTCATCTTCCCATTAACTATGATAGCTTCCTTCTAATTTCAGCTTGGGCGTAAATGCTTTCATAAGCGAATATAATAATTTTTCCAAGTGGTTTGGACTTTCTTCTTTGAAGACTTCAAGCTTCTTCGATTTTATTGACTAAAATAGTAGCCTCGATTTTTAATTAAGTTTAATCCTTTGTGAGGTGCTTCCACGTGGATTTTTGTTCTTACTGCTAGAAAATGACGCACTTTGGGTGTTCGAAACGTAGAGGTCACGAAGAAACTTTTTAAAACCCTCAACTTTCTTCATTATTGTTTACTTGAAATAGTCTTCTTTAATGGGAAATCATTCTGAAATGCTGTCAAACAAGCTTTAATTTCGTATTTTACTGTCTTTTAATTCTTTGTTTTCCTTCACAAAAATGTGTTTATCGTTTACTTATTCATATCAGCAATAGACTATTCTCAATAATTTATTATGCTTGTAATTCAAGAAACCCAGGAACGGTTGTGCTACTGCATCTAGATTACTTTAATTTAAACAAACAATGTATCGATTTGACCATTTTGGCGGGTTATTAGTTTTATTTAAGTTGAAGGAAATTCACCAAAATATATGTGTGAGTATATCTTGCATCATGGTATAAATTTTTTAAATCAACCTGAAGAAAATCACTAACTTGATTTTGAGACATTTTTAAATATTCTTGTGCCATTTTCGTCAATTTGCTATTTTTGAAATAATTCCCCCAAAAACGCACTTAAATCATTCTGCTTGCTACTTCAGTGCTGTAATTCGATCTGATAATTAGTAATTTAGGTTTTTTCTTGAATGTCAGGTAGTCTGAAATTAGAAAACTCTGTCAGTCAATGTAGTCGTGGAAAGAGAATTTTTATATTTATTTGACGGGATGGAATAAGATAAACTATGAACTCTCTAGAGAATGCTTATTTCAAGCATTCATCGCAGGTAAAATTTAGGACATTTTAGAACCACTCTGGTAAAACAAGCCTCATTTAGATTACTTTTTATTGATTTGTTTTTATCGGAGCAATTGGCAATGCTCCCCGCCGAATACGCATCTATGTGCTTTGAATTCATGATATCCGACTACCAATGCATAACATTTCCTCATTTTGCCAACCGCAACAGAAACAATAACAAGAATCGATGAGGTAGGGCACGATAACAGGGCATTTACAAGAAGTAATAAAATTTCTTAAAGCAATATCTGAATCCGAGTTTACAGTTTTCATCAATTTATGCCAACTGAAAAACGATTTTTATAAGCATAAATCTACATGGCAATCTTGTTGTAGTCTTAACGCTAGTGAAAATTGAAGAAATTTAATTGCTGAAAATCCTTGGAATTAGCAATATTCAAAACTAGTGAAAGCGTATAATTTTTAGTAAAATAATGGGGTGTTAAGCACCTTGGAATGAGTGAGAACAATTCTATACATTTAATTTGACATAATCTGTTGTTGACATCAAGATTCCTATTAGCTCAAAACTGTTGAGATGTTGCTAATGGGGCTTAAATGAAATAGTCCTTTAGTTTTTGGGATCTTTGTGTTTTGACTCGTTGGTCGTTTCGATTGCACAACATTTATGTGGGTTTTCTACTTACTCGGTTACATATCTTCACTTCTTTCTTTTCATAATTACAAGACAAATTCGAGTTCCACTCAGTTAGTTAAATCTATAGCTGCTTACTTATTGTTATAGCTTCTAATTGGAAGTGTGATAATCCTTAAAGTTTCAACCAGAGGTAAGCCTTAAGACGCTTGTTTGATGGTTAATCAAAACCCTGTCGTATGGTCTAAGCGTATGTTAGTAGCTATCTAAAATTAAAAGTTAATCAAGTACAGTGATTATTGGCATTGTGAAATAAGCACTTAGACTAACCAACACCCGGAATCTGCGGCCGTGATACTGATCGCGATAGGGATCAAATGAAGTCACTATTGCAGGAACCTCTCAACTAATCTATAGCCAATAGTCATTACAAGGTCAGGTTACCCAACACATTTATTTATTTATTTCAAATGGCAGGCTTTATGATATTTATCATTAGCCCTTAATCTTTGACTTCAGCTTCCCCCTAGAAGGGGGGGGGGTACATTTATAGCAGTTAATTCATAGCAGTTCATTAGCAGTCTTCTTGCTTCCCAGTATCTTTGGCTTTCCGTCCTTGTCTTTAGAGCTGGACACCGAATCAGGTGGGTCTTCTCCATTTCCTCCTGTAGATAACATAGAGGGCATGTGGGTTGAGTGTATACTTCCAATCTGTGAAAGTGTTTTGCCAAGCAATCGTGTCCGATACGTAGTCTAAACCCAGCAACGGCTTCGATTCTTGGCCAGTCGGCTATGTCGGAGACTGACACTGTCCACTGTTTCTCCTTTGTTCGAGCTTTAATTTCGTTGCACAGTATTCAATGAAAAGCTCCCAAATAAACGCTTTCCCTGCCGTAGGTCCACTTCCTCTGCATAGTTGGGGTGGCTTAGAAAATGCAAGTACTTTTTTTGGGCTGCGCTCATAATGTTACACTCACATTTTCCTATAACTTGGCCTCAACTGGAGCGCCATATTTCTTTCCCATTTATTCAGAAAAAAAATCGTGCCATTACAGCAGCAAACGTGTGACATAAAATGGCTATTACCTTGTATGTGATTAAATAAATAGACTAAATATTAATTATTAAATAGTAATAGCACACTCTATCGGACAATTAGGCAAAATTTCAGTAAAACGCAAAAAAGAACATCAAATGAATATTTCATATGATAGGAAGGTAGCATGACAATAATTAGTTCTCATGAATAAAACATTCAACGTTCTCTTTTAATTAAAGGAGCTGCAAAAATCATCCGAAAGACGACGACATCTCAGTTACGAGAATTCTGAAATAAAAGCTCAAATCACTGATAAGATTGGTCAACTCTCCCGTCTAAATCTTGAATCCTTCGCCTCGCCTTCTGATCCGCACTTTGATTCCGATTATACTGAAAGTAATGTAAGTAACAATCCTATTTAAGCAACCTTGAAATATGTACCCATGGAATTGGTTTTTGACGTTTTTCATGTTTGAATACAAAGCCACACAGTGAAAAAATCCAGATTATCAGAAATTGAAATGACAGTGTCCTTATTTGCCGTCTTTACCCTGGAACTAGCACACGACCAAAATCACAATTCGTTCATGATGGTTGAAATTATCCAACAAAATAATTGATAAAATCTAATTTTAATTTTGTCATACAATTTAATTTTTTAATGCCATCTGCACCGAGGTTTACATGCTGAAAGTTCATTCAGTTAAGTCGTAAGTTGAAGAAGGAGGATTGAAAGGTAAAACATTCAAACACAATGCTGGAGATGAGGAGTAGAATTCCAGTTTACGTTAGTCAAGAATGGCCCATACTCGATTCATATTGTTCAAATTATTTCGCGCATTGGAATATTTGAAAAATTTGAAAGAGCAGATTCACAAAACAATCGCAATAAAATTTCAATGGAAAATAATTATTGCATTAGTTAATTATCCTAGTTATTACATCTTGGCCAAATCAATAATGAGCATATCACACAGTTAGTGTTTAGTTGAATAGGTACACATATCTTAATTAATCGAAACATGAAGGCCAATAAAATCTTAGATTTGCACGTGTTATCGTGATAAAAATTATTTGCTATTTGAAAGCAATGCACGTATGTTTATAATCAAGCGAAAGGAATGAAAGATTTCAGCTCTTGGAGACTTTCGAATTTCCTTTTCAACGAATTCCGTCTTTTGCCTCAGGTCATTTTGCCACATACAAGTTAGTATTCTAGGAGACAGAAAGTTGAATTTGTAACGATGATTCAAAAAGTTTTTCTTTGCTTCATTCAATTAGTTCTCTCACAGCCAAATCGTTTGATTCCTACGGCGTTTAATTTTCATTCGAAAAAATAGCTAACAATTCAATAATTTGACAATTTTATGAGTAGACGAGAAAGAATCTTCTATGATTTAAATATTTATTGGCAACACATCGTACTTCTTTATATAAAATCGATCAAATCGATTACAATATTTCCAGCTCAATTCCTTACAGTTTAATAAGCATAAATTTGTGAAAGAAGCATGAATGAAAAGCTAAAATGATTCTCTCCTTCTTATAAGTCGATGCGCTCTGGTGAACTGGATGCACCATTAATTTTATTTATCATATTAATCATCTATTAACTCTCAGTTTTGATATTTCTGTGAAATTTTTATAACCCAGCTGATGCGCAACAGGTAAATCTTTCAAAATAAAAAATTTATTCATATTCCACTATATTCTTCAAATTATATCAAAAAACCACTAGTGGGCTTTTGAAGATGTGTTTGTAACTCAGAAGTCAATAAAGAAGTCAAATGAGTTTCATTCTAAAGAGCGATTTTATTGCTGAGATAATTAAAGTTAATTAGAAGGAAAAAATCTACTTGATTTTAATTTTTTATATATCCTATTTTAGCCCGCTGTAACAGAATTCAAAGAAGCAATCGAAAATCTCAAGGTAACGGAAGGTCATATCTTGTTAAAATGATTTTGAATTCTTCCAAAAAAATTAATTGCATTATTAAAAGTAGATTATCATTTAATTTAGTATTTTATTACATTTTGAGATGTGTTCATATTTTTTGTCGGGTTTAAATGACTACCTCTACATATTTGTTGTTTTATAGGGTTTAGCGGATTCCTACACCACTAGGTCTTAACTTCTACTCAGTAATCTCTATGGCTGATTCTCGTAGTTTAGAATGGCTTCCGAGATTAGCTAAGGCACCACATTGGTATAGAGGAAATAGACATATGTCGTCAATTGCGCTTCTCTGGGTGATGCTATATATAGGAATATATATGGGATAGTAGTGGGTTGAGGTTCGTGTATGCTGCTTTGACCGAAGAGCACTTAGTCATTTATTTATACAAAATGGCAGGCATTTTGATGGTTATCATTAGCCTTTTAGTTAACTTCAGGCTTCACAGAGGGGAAGGAACATCAAGGTGAAAGAAAGTCGAGAGTGGGGGGGGGGGGACAGAAGAGTGTTTCAAAGACGAATGTAGAAAAGACAGAAAAAAGGTGAGATGAGAACTGTGGAAGTAGTCGAATATGACATACAGTGGGGTGAGGGTAGTGTAAAGTCAGAAGTTAACTGCTGGTTTATTGACCCCCAGGCTGCACCACGTGGAGGTAAGTCTATCGCACACCCTCACTTAGTCATAATAAACACTTTCGGGTCTGGTTAGTGATTTGTCGAGAGGTCTCTACACTCATGATCTCATGACGTAAGCAATGTCTTTGCTTCAGTCTTGTTGAAATTGGTTTCCCCAGTAAGTAAGAAATACCCTGAAATAGTCGTGTAATAAGAAGAGGTAAAGCCCGAACGCAGTAAATGACAACTATGCTAATTAAGATTACACAATTAAAAACCTCAATTATTTCGAGATAATTACTCGCGTGTTAATTATTTTACTTAGGGCCTATTTTCCAATGGGGAAAAGTTTAAACTGATATTTTAAAGATATTTTATGAAAAAATGGTATATTTTATTTGTAGTGTAGTGTGAAAAATAGGGGCATTCAAAACACTGTTTTACTGCGGGGCTTTATTGCTTCTTTCTAAATACGCCAAAATGTACTTCCTTCTTATATCAATACCTCTTTTACAAAGATTTTTACAAATGTACTATTAGCTGAAACATTTAAAACGGTTACCTAACAGTATTGTATTGTTAATATTTCACACATCGTAAGTGTTTTTCAAATAGATTTAAGGTAAATCTCGATAATTCTTTTTTGGCGAGCCAATGTCTGAAGGGGGTTTAAAAATCAAGAAATGAAATTGGAAAGACGATAGTTATGAGTTACGAGAGACGGTTCCTTGTTCACGTTCCAAATATCATGATTGTAGAACGGAGTATTTCTTAGTATTTCTAACTCCTGGAATCTTGAAATTATAAGAGATATTTTAGGTCTTAATATGCGATCAAACCACGTGAAAATATTATGATTGCGTTATTATTTTTTGATTGACCCTGACATGATTTATTTTTATTATCCAAATAAATCAAGCATTCAGAAATGCCCAATAATTGATTATCCTCCATCTTGAAATCGAATTTAGCCATTTAGCGGAATACGACTAAGTTCAGTAGAGATTCAAATTCAAGCATTTGAATGGCTCTAGCACATTTTAGCTATTTGTTCCTGATCTATCATGGCACTAGGTGTAATGCTTTTTATTTGGCATATATACTTACAGAAATTGGCTCCTAGGCTTATATGCTTGAAGTGCAGAAATCATTGACCGGTTGGGTAGTCGGTTCGTAGTAACTTATTAATAAAAAACTCCGTAGCTGTTTATGAAAATGTTTTCCAACGCTTGTCTTGGGTTATGGAAGAGGCTCATTGAATCTCTTAGCCAGCGTATTTGGCTATTCCAGTCACCGGGTGCGCACTACTGGGCATCGAGCACGTGATCTCCAACTTCGCATGCGAGCACATTAACCACTACTTCGTCTTAATAAATTATTTCCTTCTAAAAGGCATGGATATTACATTTTTGCCAGATAATGCGTTTAATTAGTCCTAATCACTAGATTTCATAACAAATTCTTCCTTATTACTAAACTTATCCTTGATTAGTGTTTGCGAAAATTGATATCCGGTTGGTTTGATGTAATCATATGTGCCATGAATTGTAGAAAGGAAATTGAAGAGTCACCCAGGGTAGAATCAAAGCATTGAGGATCTTTACTTCATCAACGCCATGAATTCAGATGTTATGAATTTATTTATTGTGTATTTTAATTTCCGCAAATTCAACAATCTTCTTCAAGTGGACTGCCACGTAAATTTTTACTTACGTTAACTGTTGACCTTTGGCTCTTTGATCTTAATGATCAATTTCATAACTTCAGTTCATTTTCTTTCAAATAGTGAAAAAACGAAAGGATTCCCTATGATATTACGCGGGGTGCATAATCTTAACTTGATGGAAATGAGATTGGTAAATTTGGGTTGCTTTATTTCAGAACTCATAATTCGATCCTTTAAATCGTTAGTTAACTATCGATTTCTCAGTCAGACTACTTTGTTGAATGAATTTTCAAAAAAACTCAAGCGGCTTAAATTTGCCTACAACTTTTTTAAAGATTTCAAGTTTTCACAAAAATTTCATTTTGATAGTATTTTTTTGTCAGTAGAAAAAAATGCCATTTTTTATTTATTTTGACCTTGGACAAAAATTTGAATTCGTAACCTGCCTCACATCGTTATTCCAAGCGCTTGCGAAAGAGCGCAACGACATTTCAACTAATCCCGAAATAGACCATGAGCAAATTGAAATTGACAGTGAGATTTACGTACTAACAAGAGTTTCTCTATGGTCCACTTCTCAACAACAAAAATTTACTCCAGTTTATAATGTACATTACTGGCAAATTGTTTGGTTAATATTTGCAACCGTTTTACTCACTGAACTAATGGAATTTGGCAATTGGAGTAACTATGATATGTTTTTAAGAATAATGCAAAATGAAAAAAATATATTGATATTATTTAAAAGAAACAGACATCAAATGATGCAAGGATATGAAGTCCAATTACCGTCAAATATGTATTCGACACTTAATGAACGAAATTTATTTTAAATCCATGTTATCTAAAAGTTATGTTTTATTCGAATATGCTCCAGAATTTAAAAAGCATGCCATAAAAGTGGGGTACAATTTTTGGGCAAAATTAGTCTAAAATAAATGCCGTACATGGTTACTGATAAGTCCAGACTACCTTTCACATTTTTACACTTCTAACAAGATGGATTACTGGCCATTTAGAGTTAACAAGAAATTCAATGAAATGGAATTACTTAAATTTTAGGAGGCCTGAAAACGCGATTCGTAAGTCATTAGATCTTTACTAGAAGGCCCGCGTTTTACTTATCAATTAGAGTTTCTCTTCAGACTAGGGTAGACAGAGGGTCTTTAATCCATGAGCAATAGTGAAAGCATTTGCCATCCGATGGTGCAGACTAATTGAGCAATTAGTGTCCCTCACCAGGGAGATTCCACAGTTCAACTTCAACCGTTGGAAACTAACTACTTAATTGGGAATCGAATTTACAGATTTGTAAATTCGTTATGCTTAATGTATCATTTTATAATTTTGTAATTCTGAGAGCTGTACAGATAATAATTGAACTGGATGCCAGTATTATGGGATATGAAAATGAATCAACGTAAATCACTGCAGATAGGCTAGATAATTGAACACTCAACTTAAGCACTTATGCACATATATTAACGAAATTGGCATGCCTTAACCAATTTAGGCAAGTGAGTACTTGGCCATGGCTGTGGGAAAGTAAGTGAGCAGCGAATGGGGAAATATGATCTTTGAGTTCAGAACTTTTGCCTTCTTTCATTCTCAATCCCAAAACTATATTCTGTCTTTTTAAAGCTTCCTTTGAAAACGCTCACACTAAAGTTTTGTCAATGTTTAGAATGCCATACCTTTAGGCAGACCGCATAGTTGCTATTGTTAAGCGACTTCTGTGGTTTAATTGTTCAGTTGTGGTATTTAAGAGCCATTAAGTACTCAGAAAGCCGGCTTTAATTCTAAGAATTGTTTTGCATGCATTCAATAGGACTGCTAAAATATAAGCAAGCTTAAAATTTTAATTTCTGCACTCTTCGACGTTCTGCTTCGCTGACTGGATGGTTCAAGTTGTAAATCCATCCTTTTGCGCAGTTTATTTTTAATTAAAAAGTAGTCTGTTCATCCACTTTCCGTCAGACAAATAAGTCACCTTGGATTTGGAAGCTGGGGTTGGTCTTTGCATTTTCTACCAATTTATAATAAAAGGGGTGATACTTCCTAGAATATGAGAGAGTAAAATCAAAACGTTTGAACTTGCATAAGGTAAGATGAAATTGGCATGGCCTGAACCCCTCTGTTCAGTTCTGAAAACCCCACTATTCGGCACTATTTCACCATGTTCTCCCCTTCGATGTTGCTCAATCCAACCTAGTTTCACCTAACTATGCTAACAAAGGACTAACTGCACATTTTATCTTTCCCTTGCCTAATCATTACTAAGTGGTTTATGTTTCTTAATATTGCATAACAAGAACTAGGTTTCAAATATGCAGACGTTTTTTACTGATCTCCAACTCTTTGCTCCAACAAGATTCAGCAACTTAAACGGCTTCTAGGGTATACCACAGACATAAAAAAACTTGTAATTTTTTTAAATAAAATCAAAATCCAAAATCATTAATTCCGACACCATCTTTTTGCTCGTAAAATTGATCTGCACCAGCAAGTTAAGCAAAAAGAATGAAGTTGATTAGATGCACATGCAAGTTAAATCAAAATGCATAATTTTAAGAATTAATTGCGACCTTTAAACATAATTCATAAAGGATCTGTTTATTACCATTTAAATTTTTGCAACCTATGTAGAAATTATTGTTTTGAATTTGAAGAAGAGGCGATTAGAATCCGATTTAAATTTTAAAGGATTGCGGTTATTCCATTTCTTGACTGGATGAAGTAACCCGTCAAATAACTGTCTAATCCTTCCGTGGAAATATGCGCGCTTGACTTGTTTGATTGAATGGTTCTATACAACTAATGAAAATAATTCTTTTTTGGGGTTTATCTTTGAACATTTTCAAGTTTGACACTCAACGCCATTATTTTTAATCCTGCTTATTTAAAGTGAAGAATGTCTACCTAGTTTGACTTACTTAATTACGACTATTTTTGAGTGATTATATTGAGAAATGCAGCCTAAAACCTCCAATTGGTTAATGTGCTCCATTAACGTATTCAATGGCAATAGACACATATTCAACTAGAGCAATGGTCAGCACATGGATCAATATATCCGGGTGTGTTGGGGGGAGTGGGGGGGGGGGTTAGAATTCCAATTTCTCACCTGGTGAGCTCAAGTCACGATAAGCGTTTGAAAATGACTAAGAGAGTTATTTATTCAATGCAAAAGAAAACTTTTGGCAAAGAATGCCTATATTTGAATTGTAGAAACTGGATCCAATAACGTATAGTGTTCATTCAAATTGATATAAAACACTCAATTTGTTTAATACTGACTAGCTTTATACCGGCATTATACAGTACGAACCGCAAAAACATGAACCACCTCCACCTTATCCTCCATATTTAGGTTCGGCTTCGTGAATCGGAGCGGCGCTGCGCTCTCGAGTCGCTTCGTTACGAGGAATTGCTGCTGGAGCTCGAGTCCTCCCAAATGCGACAAAAGTACGAGAACTTTGAACCCATTACCACAGCTGCGATTGGCGGCAGTGGAAGCCATAGTACTGGCGTCTCTCCTGCAACCATCGTCGTATCCATTCCATCTTACAACGACCTGGCTGAATTTTCTGGCGTTTATAAGAACTCTCTTCCAAATGAACCCTCTATGGCGCTTAAAGGTCAATTTTCTGGTAAGAATACGGTGGCACCATCCTTTCTATATACAAGATTCATGAGTTCATTGTTCTTCGATGCATATCCAGTTTGCCACATAATAGAAGCTACACTGTTAAAAATGGTCTTTGATTCCCAAATTTCAAAGAACTTTAGCTTTTATATAATACGTGGGTGGCCTCGAATGTCATGCCTGATACTTTCATAGATTTAAATGCTAGCCTATTTGAATGAGCTTTTATAGAGAGCCCTAGTAGTAATAGAGTTTATGAAAATAATCTTCAACTTCCATTTTCTTCAGCTTCCAAATCTTTTAATCCTAGTGTCTGCGTGACGCAAAGGCAATAAATGAAAAAAAAGAGATTTCTATTTATGAAACATGGTTTAAAGACAAGATATTGTGTTTGCTAAATTCGTTTCACTAACTACGAAGTTTTGTTAATGACTACTCGGAGAATTGACTACTTTTAATTGAGTGGGACTGTATGCACCTATTGAAAATTTGTCTGTTTAGCAAGATTCGTTTGGACTTCTACAAGGCGAATTCATTTATACCGGCTTGAAAATAACTAGATCTCTATTGACTTGTAATATTAACAAGCTGGAAAGTTTATCGCATTTGCCACACCGATTAGATCAAAAATTGGCATCAAACGTTTATCACTTCAATGTGTCTAAAGTATCCATTATTCTACTTTTAGAAGAAAGGCAGAACAGTGATTGGCTTTCTTCGAATTTAGGAAATTTTCAAAGTGATGGAGATTGGAATCCTCCTACCAGAGGTAAGAAACTTAAAGCTTACTTAGTCCATATAATCTAGGAAGAAATGATAAGTTGCTATTCATGTGAAAATGTTGACCCTTTGGTAGCATATTAACATTTGAAAATTCATTTTTTAAAATAAAATTTGTCTGTTTAAATATTCACTTGTCATTGATATCTCTCTGATCTGGAAGTGATCACTTAATAGTCTCATTTAAACTTTTAACTAAATAACTTGTGAATGTTTAAATCGCAGGAAAGTATTCTAATAACGGAACAAAGCCTGTATGGTAATGTGTGTGAGTGGGATGAAAGCGAGTAAAACAGAGCTTTTTGTGGTATTTTAATTCTGAATGCATCGGTATTCATATCGTTCGAATTTAGAGATACCTTAGTTTCAGTTGAACTATTTGACTCTCAAAATCATTGGACAGGTAAACGCGGGCTTTGTTCGGGGCTTCCCTTATACATTTGAGTGTCCATCCATAGCTCCCAAATGAGTTTTTTGGTTGTGTTTGCATATTTAAATAAATTCGATATTTCTATATATATATATATATATATATATATATATTTCCCGCTGAACCTTAATTAAGCTGTACATTGACTTCATTTAGCCAAATGACTAGAACTGACTTAAGAGAGGGAGTGTAATTTCACTGTATTGCAAGTTGTCAGTTTGGAATTTTTTAACTGTCTTTTCTTCCGCTTTAATCCGGTTAAGAGAATGTTAGAAAATGGGGACGAAAAGTCCTCCCCACTCCCAAACTCCATCTCGTTGCCAAATTAGTCATTCACTCGTGCAGAAATCCGCCCTAATCTTGTGTTTTAGCAAGAATTAAAACCCCGTCCAATATGTTTATTTTTTAAATCCGCTATCACCTGATACATGAAATATTCCACTTCACTCATTTTATGGAAAAGAAGTATAATTATTTGCTATCCACCTTCAAAATCTGCTTTTATGTCCAATAGAAGAAAACAAGCCAATCACATCTACTGGTTATATTCTTTTATTCTTTTAACATTGTCGACCACTGACTTATAGTTCTTCAAAGTGAATTATTTAATAAAATTATTTACATATTTTGGATGAGATTAGTGCAATGATAATTAAATTGTTGTAACGCATTCATCTAAAAGGGTCATCTATGAGGGGGATGGTGAAACATAATAGAAATCTGAGGTTAATTGAAAATCCAGATTATGGGGATTATAAACTCCCTTTGAGTTTGAATGATTTACTCTTTAGCCTCAGGCGTAACCCATTTGTCTGAGCAATAGAATGGGGTCAATTCAAGATAGTTCTCTCTCGAACAACTACCAAAGCGTTACCGTGCAAATTAATTTAAATGAGCAAATATTTTTCAATGCAAGTCACTGTAATTCGTCCGCTTATTTAAGAAGTTGTTTCATTAATGCTTATTGAGGACTAAATGTCGCTTTAAAACTTACTGTTTCTAATATTAATGAATACAATAGAAGCAGTAATGACCACCCAGTGCTTGTAATTTAGTTCCGGTAATGTTTTAATCTACTGAAACTATGCCAACTTGGTGAATGCCCACTTAGAGAATCATAATTTATTACGGTTAATGACTGATGATAGTAAGTACAATGCACGGGCAAAGAATGGCAGCGTTTATTTTACAACAACGATTGAAACTCGATGAAATGAGATTGAAGTGATAGAGAGAGATGAACACAGGTGAGGCCTTAGGACCCAAGTAGTTGCTCATTACATCTTTATACTTATGAGCTCATATAGCGTAGTCACCGTGGGACAGAAAAATCCTAGAATTGATAATCGTTAACATGCCGATGCGCTTCGGGTACATGGAGGAGCAATTCAATTCACGCAAGAATTCGATCCTGGATACATTTATATATATGTATATATATGTTATATTAATTTACACGTGATTTGATAAATAATTCTGCTATTATCCCTCAATATGACGGCATAGTTTAATATTTCCATTTTTCGGCGTTTAGTTCCTGCCCCTCGAGGTATTGCTATGGAGAAACAGCTCACTCACAGTATAATAGTGAGTTGGAAACCTCCGGAGTTCTGTGCAAATGACCAAGAAGAGGAGGTAACCGCCTATCATGTCTACGCGGATGGACAGTTTCGAACCTCGGTAGGCGGACATGAGAAATGCCGAGCTCTTGTTGACAATGTTGATGCTTCCAAGGTGAGTGACAACAGTTAACCAAATAGTATGATAGTTGCAAGGTCTTTGCTTAAGTAAAAATCCATTTAATAGAGGAAATTAATTTTTTGAGGCATTTGTTATGAATATGTAATGCAATGTTTGAGAAATGTTTTTCCTTGAACCACGTTTTTTTCTATTTTTCCAACCTATTCAATTAAAGAATATGAATATTTGTCAGTCATCATGTAGACGTGCAGATTTTAATTTAAAATGTGAAGATTTTGCTTGCTCTTCGTTCTGGTGCGAAAAATATTTAAAAGAATTGAGAACAGTTCGACTTGTTTTAAGAAGTCATTTGGGTGAAAAGGGCAAAGGTTATAAATTTATGTGAACAAAAATTGGAAGTCTTATAGGTTCACAACTTTACATTTGAAAGATTACGCAATTCGTTATTCATATACATGACGATAATGTGAATGGTTTGTGACTTAAACCCCCTTGAATTATAAAAAAGAATAATTTGTAACCTTTATGATTAAAATCACCTATTAAAATAAGGAGATTATGGTAGGTTCTCCATGTCACCTCATTTTGTTTGAGCTGGTGGATTTCAATGGGAACTGTTTGTCTGCTGTGACAAAAAGAAAAAACATAGCGGAATTTCAAATATGATTACTCACGCAAAATAGAATTTCACGAATATTTAATGCGCAAAATTTGTTAAGCATTCTAACATCGGACTACGATCTCAGTCAACAGAATTGAAAGAAAGTTTCGGTCTTAACCATGAGGCTTGTACACAATGAGGATATTCTCTACTTCTAGTCAAATTAGGTTCAGGAAGTCCGTTTCTTCCAGAATAGGTCTGGGAAATCGCTTGACTAATTTGAAACTTCTGAATAAATTTAAACATCCAACTAGCCATAAATAGCCTGCTTTTTCTGGTGAGGACGACTTAGAAATCGCAGAATAATAGATGACTTGGTCTGCATACAATGGAAAGAACATTTTTCGTTTCCACTAGATTCAATTCCCATTCCGAATTTTAAGATCTCAATCAAATTGATTATTAAAGGGCGATGTTAATAGAGGTACAAACCACAGTGTCAGTTAATCGGCAGAACTAAAGGGGTTTTTACATGACCCCTCCCTTCAAGAAAATGGTCCACTTTGTATGACCAGGTGCTGCATTGAAGCTCATGACAGATTTCTCGTAAAAATTTTGGAAATTAGTGCGATTTCCGTAACTATTGAGTTTCATTTAGATCTAGTAGATTTTGATGGGAAAGTTAAACTTATCTCGAACACACTACGGTTTTGGGTGATTCATCACTGTGAAGAGTGATAAAACTTTTTAGCTAATAATTATTACCGTTACTTTAAGAAGAAACGAAATTAAGAAAGGCTGACAATGAATTCCTAGTTATAGCTCAGTTCATCTAAATTTATTCAATCAGTTGATTGAATGTGTATGCCTTGGGCAGAGTTCGCGGGAAATGAATGCTCGGATTATGCCCAAACTGGACAGCAGCCTCGTAAATGCCGTGGCGAGGTTTTTAACGTAGGCTAATCCCATACATAATTAACGAACTCTTTATATAAGTTAATTGAAGCTCGCAAAACAAAACTTCCAAGTATAGTTGAGTCGTTATCTTAAGAGAAATCGCAGGTCCTAAGCAATTGACATTTCAAATTGGATGAGAATATACAGCCACATGAAAATTCTCTAATTGTTGGTGTGCAGTTTCTCTATTGGCAACACTTTATACCTTTCCAGTATTGATATTTTGGCTATAAGGTAAAAGCATTTTTTCTCGTCTGGCTGAAGGTCCCGACGTGCCGAGTAAACGTTAAGAGTTCAAAGAAGATCAGATGAAGCGTTCCAGTATTTCGATCTAATATTACACATTTTTCTAAGATCTTGTTATGTATTGGTAATCCTGAGCCCACTTATTTGAGCAGATATGATTCCACTAACCCGGTTTAGTCCTTGGTGTTTTCTGCACTCTTTACGAAGGCACACAGGAGCTGAGAGATATTGTTTTTGTCTACTGCACTACCGACGCACCTAGGGGACAAATATTACTTAGCCAAGCCATCCAATAATTCGCATCTAATTTCTGGAGGAAATTATTTGGAACAGTCAGAGCTCAGGAGGTGCAACGTCAGCCGCTTAGATTGAATGTAGACATTGTGAGATGTGGTATGATGTTATCCCGGAATAATTTCCCCTAGTAAGTCGTGCACTGAGAGAAGATCCATTGGAGGGCTTAAAAATTCATTCATTTCAAATGGCAGGCGTTTCGATAGTTATCATTAGCCCTTTAGCTGACTTCGGGCTTCACAAAGGAAGGAACATCAAAGTAACAGAAAGTCGAGGGGTGGGGAACAGAAGAGTGATTTATAGTTGTAAAAGAGACCGCCACAAAGGAAGAAAAAAGGTGAGGTGAGTACTGTGAAAGTTGTCGAATATGACATACAGTGGGGTGATGGTAGTTTGAAGTCAACTTTCAGTTAATAGACTTTTTTGCCGTATGAGAATACGTTGCCCAGGCTGCACCACGTGGAGGTAAGTCTATCGCACACCCCGCTTAAAAATTAAATCTGTCAAAATAAGGCAAGCGTGCCTACATAGTTGATGAGCAATGGCGGAAAAAAATTTCTTGGACAAATATCATAAATTACTTTGTGTCTGAAATGGAAACTTGATCGAATTTCATTAGATTATAGATGAAAATGTCTCACGAAGTTCAAACGAAATTGTTTTGGACGTCATCAGCATTAAAAAATCGATTTTCAACTTGCTATTTCTATTTACAGCAACATCGAATATCAATCCGGACAGTGACAGGATGGGGTCAATCCAAAGATGCAGAGTGTACACTTCTGGTTGGTAAGGGAGCTAGTGCTGCGCCAACTCGACTGAAGGCCTCCCATATCACTACAAACTCCGCAAAACTCTCTTGGTTGCCTGGAAGTAGCAACTTCTATCATGCCGTCTTTCTCAATGATCATGAACTGCGAATCTGTCCTCCTGGCGTCTACAAGCTCTTTCTCACTGGTAAGTATAGCTTCACTTTCTGAAAGTACCTTTTTTAGCAATCTTGCACAATCTAAACAATAATTTATTTATTTCAAATGGCAGGCGTTTTGATAGCTATCATTAGCCATTCAGCTGACTTCGGGCTTCACAGAGGGAAGGTTCATCAAAGTAGCAGAAAGTCGAGGGTGGGAAACAGAAGAGCGATTCACAGATGTAAAAGAGACAGACAGACACAAAGGTAGAGAAATGGGTAAGGTGACTACTGTAGAAGCAGTCGAATATGACAACCAGGGGGGTCGTGGTAGTTTGAAGTCAGAAGTCAACAGCCGATTAATAGACTTTTTTGCCGTATGAGTATACATTGCCCAGGGTGCACCACGTGGAGGTAAGTCTACCGCACACCCCATCTAAACAACAATGGAGTCATATTTTCTAACTGCTGAAGTAGTAACTTAAAGTAACAGCAATAAAACAGTAAAGCTTTAATAGCAGCTAGGCTTGGAGCTATGCCATGGAAAACTAATGATCTTATGGGTTAGCACTGTAGATCGAATTTTCAAAAAAAAATCGGAAAACGTGTAGGTGAATTGG